CTAGTCACGAAATTCCAGAATTCTGGAAGATATAACAGGGACGTTTATTGTATAGGGGCTTCTTTGTGGTCTACCTAACTTTGGCTTAAGTCTCAAGGTCCAACACTAGCGCCATGAAAGACAGGACTTCACAATCTCTCTATCATACATTTGCCAACTTCCGCCCTTGCGAGTAGCGTTGACAAAGTCATTGCAAACAACCCTAGATGCAAGGATGAATAATGTCCTGCCATTTATCTCAAACGTTGCTAAAATCAGCAGGCCAATCAGTACAAGGTAAGGCTACTCTATTTTGCTAAACTTATCTGAGATTCGTGCCTGACAGATTGACGAGCGGAGAACGGATAGGTCAAGTGACACATGAGTGAATGGATAATTTTAATTATGCTATTAAGCTTGTTAAGCTTGCAGAAGACTAACTTGATTGTTGCCATTGTTTGTTTATCATTTTGACAAATTTGGTCCATTTCTTCAGTGCATAACTTCTCTGTCTAGGTCTTGGAATGATTAGGGATAAAATGAGGAGAAATGGAAATAAATCGGAGCATTTCGTGGAAGGTTAGCCATGCGCGCCTACGAAGGAAAGCTTTCCACTACTGGGTGGCGTCTCAAACATCGCCACTACTTCCACAAAGCTATCTTAGTGGCAAACACTACTTCGACCGTCACTATTTACACTGTTGCACAAAATAAGGCGCTATATAAAGTGAGATTTGCAGCAGCCTTGGGTCTCAAAAAGAAATCATACTGCATTGGTCTTAACTTGATTATTGCAGAAACGATAGGAGATATTTACGCTTCTTTGTTTCTGGCGGTTATGTCCGAATTCGTACCGTAATAATATAGCTCCTGATAAATACCGTTTGTCAACACCAGTCAGATGCACAAAAACATATAAATATTTTTCAACATAGATTTTCGGAAATGCTAATATTTTTTGGACCAAAGATTGATCTTATTTATTTCGATTTTACAATGTGACACAAGAAGTGCCAAAAGTGCAACATTGAGACATGCATACAAAAGTAAAAATACCCCAAAATTAACAATGAAAAAAACGACTCAAAAATCATCAACCTGTGATATCTTTCCGCTCCTTTAATCACTTCATTCCAATTTATTACCATGACGCACACATGTCATTCCCAATACCGCGCATTCAAAATTTCTTCGACTGCCCGACAGTATCATACACCTATATTTACATGGTGTTTTATTCGTACACAAGTAAAAACATTACTTACAATTTAGCAAAGTGTCATGTTTTGCATTTTGGAATGCATTTATGTCAGCTTTGTCATTTGTCAAGTATATTAAGGTTTAAGTAATTTTCTTGAATATTTTGCCATTGAATTTTTTGCCTTCAAAAATTCTTTAGTAAAATGGTCTCAAGCCATCACTAGTTATTGTTTTTAGGCTTTACAAGCACTACAAAGTCCTTATGAAAGTGTTCTAACAAATAGTTTGCCAGTTTGACAGTGTCAATAACACCTTTCCGTCACCCTGGAAATTTTTTGTCAGTTCTCAGAAACTCATTTGCTTTTAATGTCTTTACTTAGGGTTTATTTAATAAGACCAATCTAAAAATCCCTATTTTGTGCCACATTTGGCTTTTTATGGCCATTAATTGCCCGATAATTCAATCCACAATGCTAAAGTCCTTGCTGATGTCAGAGCCGAAATCTTATGCATAAGCATTGCAAAAGAGCTTCGACAAACGAATCAAAACCATATGCTTGCCATCCTATTCTTATCTGTACGTTATATAAGAGATGTTTATTACTGGTCGAGTACAAACCCAACCGTTGTCTCAGGCCCATCCATGGAGGTGTGATTATGGAACACTGCCATGTGGAACTTGCGACAGTAGAATTCGGTTAGCAGGGCGGACAAGCCCGAGCTATAGTCGATGAATATCTTAAATGCCCTGTCTTAATATCAGAGCCTCAAGGTATGAGGGGAGCGCAGAGCAGAGTAAAAGCGGCTGGCGCACACTCAAGGAACACTGGGATCTACTCTACAAATTCCTACCAGTTCCAAAATATCTAAGTCGCATGAGCGTCTATACCTACCCAGTAAACACTCATCCTTAAATCCTTGCGATTGGAAGTAACTACAGTCCTTATTGGTGGTACAGATCCAGGGGAATAATGGGCACCGGAATGTATGCACTCGAGAATTTGCATGCCCAACATCTTTAAACAAGACGGAATGCACTACAACTAATTGCGAAGACAATAATGAATATGACAAACATATTATTGGCGGCATTTATTACATCGACATGGGAAAATGAAATCACGTTCAAGTACGTCGCAATCTCTAAAAGATGAATTGCAAGTTGCCTCAAACAAGGTAGCCCTGCATGGTTTGACCTGTGTCGTATGCCACGCACTCACTGCACAGAGAGTCGCTATTTGCCTCCACTGTCTGCCCAATAAGGTAGGCATCAGCAGTCCCTGGCTCCTTAAAGTACGATGCTACGTTCGGTGCAGATGTGTTAACACCTTTGAAAATAATAGCAAAGTAATTCAACAAAGTCACTGGATCCATTCACACACAGCCACGACATATCACGGCAATAATTCATCCTGCAAAAGGGGTTGGTTTTGTGGCAGTATCTACGAAACACCTACAGCGATGGACTAGCATTACAGACAAGCAGAATCTTAAGTTAAGGGAATTTAACAGGGACAAGGCTGCAAAAAGTAGCTCCCATCTCTTCACTTTTGCTTAACCCACCCGGGCTTTGCCTTTAGGATTTGCAAGGGAACTGCCCTACAAGTGCCTCTCAGTTGTAGCGCTGAAGAACTGGAATAGAAACCTTCCAGTCTTGTAATCTGTTTAGCAGTCAAACGCCATTGCCTTGAAGGTATAGAGGAATCCATGTCCAGCTAAACACACCACGTCTCTGAATTAAAAATAAAGCACTGCTGTAAGGAAGCAATGCGGAATTTAGACTAAATGGCTGAAGAAAACATCTCAGAATACGTACTTTGCTGCCGCCTTACGCATCCGCCGAGAAGGCGCGAGTTCAGGTAAAATAACGACACATTAAAAATAGTGGGGTGAAAAACAAGCTCCGCTATTCCCACCTTTCTCCAAGAAGAAGCATTTGACGGCATATGTTCCAAATAAACATGTGGCACCACAAAAGTAGAATTAAATGAAGGTGAGCTGCCCCACATATGCGATGAGGAAAACCCGAATGATTTATGAGGGAATAAATTCTAGTATCGAGGGAATGGTAAACAGAAGGCCGAAATTAACTGGTCCCACCTCCCGCTCAGCATTTGTTGCCAAGGCTATTATCAACGCCACCGGCCCTAAGGAAACAATGACTCAAAAAAGCAACCCTTGAGGCACTAGTGGGGTGCAAAATGAAACAGTACTTCCCGCTTCCTCTCCATATCAGCCCTTACCACCATGATGTCCAAGAGAGCAGACTTAAGTACGCATCGATACACTGAAAATGCATCCTATCTTCACACACATCTGTGCATATGAGCACAAAGTCAACAAGCCAATATTTGCCATGATCCGGGCTGGTGGAATGCACCCCTACGTGTTGATCATATTGCCGAGGCCAAGGGAAGGTGCCAAATTCTCCAAAATCCGTGATGATCCAGCAGTTGCCACACCACTACGACTAAATTAAGAGCGAAAAATCACGTTTCACCTCTACCCATGGAGCCATGACCCCGGGTAGGCGACGAGGTCCCTAAAACCCACAATTATCTAGCAGTTGCCGAGCTACTGCGAATAAGATAGGTGCGCAGATAACGTCATGACACCGCGAGTGCCTCCAAGACACATTCGCCATTCAAATAGCAGGGTTGCAATGATAAATACCTCACAGAATCAACGCTAAGGGCAAATTTCCCCCAAGGGAAGACAGAAAACACTGGGAGTCTACACTCTACAACCAGCTGCGCAAAAGGAACCACTGTGATGCAAAAATAATGCAGAACAGTGCCAGACAAGGGGCAATCCAATAACAATAAACACTGGTTGGGTGCAAGATATGCCATAAAGCAAGGTGTGGTGATTAATCAAGTTTCTTATCACAAATGACCGAGAACCCGAATCCACCAATTCGACGAAGTAAATCGCAAACACACCAGTCCTACCAAGGCCCTTATCTTTAAGTCGATGTTTTACAACGAAAAGAAAATAACAAGGCGGAAGCAAATGAACAACTCGCTCACGTGGTTTCCCATCACCGAACATCGGATCAACATTAGCATCAGCCGCAATGACAGGAACCACCTTCACGATTTGGATCCTACAAATGCCATAAGGGCAGTTATTCAACAACAAAACGAAAACTAAAGATGAACAGACGCAATCACACCCACCTGCGTCTTTATTCTGCAATGATACGATGCTCGTCAAAACATTGCAGTATTTAGAATGCTGTCAAGGCCAATACTGTTTTAATACTATTTAAGCAGCCTACACTTGTGCTATCTGCCCTGAGGTTCCACGTTTATGCACAACGCGAGTCAGACTGAAGCCTAACTGCAGTACAATCCTGTAGGAATCAAGCATTTTGCTTTACAGATCATTCCATACCTACTCATGTACTTCTTAACTGACAAAATTCATGTGTACCGTTTGCTAAAGCATAGATCACTTTACATTTCATTTGCATTATAAATCCTATCAGTTGAGTCTTAAGAAAGGGGTAAGAGACATCATGTTTATCTCTTTAATATGATAATATTCTGGAAGATTTCTCGATCAAGTTAATACTGGATGTGTTGCATTATAGGGAACCGATTAAATGCCGTGGGATGGACCGAAGTAACTCCCTTTA